GGCACTTAATCATTGAGCCATATCCCCAGCCCTTTCTAGTGTTACTTTGAGGCAGGGTCTCCCTAAGTTGCTTAGAGCATCACTAAGTTGCTGACTCTGCCCTTGAACTTTTGATCCTCTTGCCTCAGCCTCCTGAGCTGCTAGATTACAGGCATGTGCCACCATGTCTGGCTCCATTTCCTCTTTTAAAACTCAGTGAGGTACAGGCTATGATTATCCCCATTTTACATGTGTGGGAACATGAAAGCTAGGACACACAGTAAGGGCCAGGCTTCTGTCACTAGGACTTAGGTATGTCATGCCAACATCCAACCCTGACTGACAGGGTCCCTGTGGCCCAAGGAGAGCCAGATGCACCTAAGGCCTCTTCCCAGGCCAGCCCAGGTGCATTCTCACCTGCACGATGTAGTCACAGTCTTCCACCTCGAAAGCCACGTCCTTCACGCCATCCCCGTGTTTCACCAGGTGGTCGCCCATCTCTGTGGTCGGCAGGGAGCGCTGGCACTGGAGTTCAAGGCCCCTGGACAGGCTCTCAGCCTTCTGGGCTCAGCCCCCCTCGTGCCCTTCCCAGGCCCTGCCCTCTGACCCCTGACCCCATCCAACAGCCCTGCTGCCACCCCGGGGCCCCTCACCTTTATTCCAGGGGTTGAGTGCAGAGGAGAAGACAAACACAATCTACAGTGGTGGAGAAGGGGGTGTGACCAGTGGCTCAGGGGAGTGTGGGCAGGTGCACCTCCCCTCCATCCTGCTCACCCCCACAAATCCCTGGTGGAGCAGGGGGCAGCCATGCAGGACTCCTGAATCACAGCTTCTAGCTCCTTATCTGTCTTGCCTCTCCCCCTGGTCCTGAGGGTTGGGGACTTTCTCCCGTGCCACCCCTGGGACCCATGATCAGCTCTTGGGTCCCCTGGGGGAGAACTCCCAGAACCCCATGGGCCACAACTCTGCTGAAACTCCCTACATCTATGGCCTTGGCTTGCTGAACTTGGGGGGCCAGCACTGGACCAGGCTGAGGAGACCCGCCTGGGAAGGTCCCACGTTAGACCCAAGAAGCCCTGAGAGCAAGGGGTCCCTGGGGTGTGGACGCACCTTTCCTTGCTTGACCACATGGCTGACCACCTCCCGGGAGCCCGTCTCCAGGCCCCTGTAGGCTAGTGGCTCGAAGCCCATCTTGCTGCAGTAGAAGGAGGCAGCCTAAAGACAGAGAGGTGAAGTGTTCGTGAGGGTGGAGAACCTCCCTGGGGCCCAGATGAGAGTCCCTGTCCCCTGCCTGCCCTCTTGCCCAGGAGCAGAGACTGCACTGGGGAAAAGGCTACTCTTGGGTACATTGTGCCCTCCCAGAAGTTTCCAGCTGGGGTTCAAAGCTTTGGACCCCTACTGGGCCCCCATTTCCCCATTCCAGGATTCAATCCCAGACCAGCTGGGGGTCTGCCCTGTCCAGGGGGCCCTCTTGCC